GGGGGCGGCTTCAACTATTTTTCCCTAAATGGGGGAGGCTTCAAACTGAAAAATATGTGACAAGGGGCAACCCCAATTTTATAATACTTTCCTACTCATTTTCAATCTCTCGTCTTTATCGTTCCCACAAAATATTTCACTTTCTTTAGTTCCTATAATCGTAGTTTCCATAAATTGTTACGTATATGCAGTTCACCATAGGAGTCAGAGTAAATAACAACCATTTTGAATACTGGTCCGCTAATTATTAGCAGTACTTGTCCCATTACCTATTTTACACCAAAAAATGTAAATTAAATGTCGGGGGGTCCTAAATTTTCTAGATGAACGTGGGGGCATCTTGAAAATAAAGGTCTTGCGATTGGCACGGATCTAAAAAATGTTCAATATATGGTATTCATCACCCACCGCCGCCCTCCTGTTATTAATGACCAATCCCTTAACATTTACCATTAATGGTACTTTATTTGTTTCCGGTGCACAGGAAAACACCATTAATGGTAAATATTAAACATTGTGATGTGACTTTATTAATTTACCATATATGAGAAATCTATAATAACCAAAAATACCCCTCCCCCCATCATGTACAAAGCATAGACGGATTTTCATATTTTTTACTGGGGTGATGCCAGAAATTTTAGGGGTGATGAGCCGTGAACAGGTGACTAAAGCAACACAAAGTGTCACCAAACCCCAGTAAGGTCTATATTCTAGGGGTGGAGCACTAGAGCCACGAGGGGGAGTCTAGAGAACAGAAAACAAAGTATCCCTGGAAAAATTTGAAAAAAATCATGATTTCTAGCTTCGAAAAAAAGTTTTTTGAAGTTGTCATATCAATGGTTTGGCATGTCCAATTGTCTGTTGAGACTTGAGAGAGTTAAAGTTAAATGAACCCGTAAAAGTGTAAACCCAATAGGCCAATACACAATATGCTTTTACTTTTAAAGTCATTGACATTGTGTCGTTTGAAGCCGAGTACAATTTATGATGCAACTCTGATGTAAATAATATTTGGGGCGTAAAGATTAAATCTAGGCAAGTATATTTCCTAAAAGAATTAAAAACTTAAAATAATGTTCGTAAAAATTCCAAACGTTCCTTGCGAGCAAGCTATTTGCATGACAAGGCACTACAAACTTTGATTATATACTATAACATGTTAATTTGCGCTATATAATTATTAAATATTATTATTAACTCTATTCAGGGGAGATAAGAGAGTTTCAAAACTTTACAATTGCTCCAATAAACCAGTGAATGCAAGCGAGGAGCGATTAGTTTCAGAGTATTGTCTTTTTCTATCTGAGTGTACTAATAAGTTTATTTTGTATTGTCTGTATGTTGGAGTGGACTATTTAATTATTTTTTATTATGCCGAATATTGGGGGGGGGGGTTGAAAATTTTTTTGGAGGAGTGGACATTTTGTTTCGGGGGGTTATAGTTAATATTGGGGAGGGGGGGTAGCACCCCCCACAAAATCCGTCTATGGTACAAAGGCTGCAGCAAAATGGGCAGCACAAATAGAAAACACATGGAACAGTCTTTCTAAATTGTAAAAATTGTGTGCTGAAAATCAAGCACTGTGAAAATGCAGGTGACAGCCAGTGAACCACACACCTTTTATCCGGAACGATAACATGTAGGAGAAACATGAAGCCAATGCCAGCGCCACTTCATGCTAACACCAGCGTGCCGGAGGGCACTGATTTGTGATAGACATACTATATGGTGTGGCAATGGACAGGGTGGTGATGGTGTATAAAGGGACTGAAACTGACATACTACTACTGTATATGGCGTGGAGGGCTAACACCACTGCTCATGCGTTGCTCGCACAAGGCTTCACCTTCTTAACTGCCAAATGCAGGGCTCGAAATAACATTCCCAACGTTCCCGATCACGTTGATCGGCAAGAAATACAGCAGCATTATCAATTAAGAACTAAAACTTACTATTTAATATTAAAAGAGAAATCCTACTCAAAAAATCCTATCAATTTGAAATGTGACAAAGACATTCATCGTCAGCGGTTCGGATTGCAGACTGTTGAAGAGACGACAATACTTCATAGCATGACTCGTATCAACTAAACAAGAGTTTTTCGCCTGTTTTCTTAATGTGTTTTATATTATTTTTATTTGCCTTTTACTGTATACAGGTACTGTAAGCATGTCTTTCAGACAATGGTCAAATCTATTTCTTGCTGATCAAGATGAACGGCAATGTTGCTTCTTTGCCGATAAAAAACAATTTCCTGCCGATCATTGATCGTTGATCTGCTGTTATTCGAGCCCTGCAAATGACTGAGTGTTATCGTTCCAGGTAAAGAAAAACAAATTGAGTTCACTGGTGACAGATCCAGCAGCTATCTTAAACCCAGAAAACCATTCAAAAACCCAGAAAACCACTCAAAAACCCAATAAGGCTAACATATGCAAGGTTTCATATGGTTTAACTTCATTGGGACACTCTTTTGCGGGAGGGGAGCAGGTTTTCCATGGGGTGGTGCATGAGAGAACCTTACTGCCCACTCTCCTCTGCAGTCTGCAAAGCTGCTACATATCCCAACATTACCATTATTATTTGAGATGGCCAAATCTGCATGTTCACTGTTCTGTTACACTTTACATTATCTTTTGTTTATAAAGTTTATGTCAGCTTTTTATTACGTATGCATGACCGGACAGTTGCTGTAGCACTTGTCGAAGCTGTGTTGCTTGTTAAAGTACAGTATATTTGAAAATATATTATGGCTGTACATATAAGAACTAAAGCATTCTGAGAATTTTCTCAGATCAAATAAATCGTTTCAAGAAATCAAAAAGCAGAAAATGTATGGTCAAGCAGATTTTTTAGGGTGGTGCTCTACAGGGGTGCTATATATAGGGGTGCAACAGAACTCGGTTCCGGCCAGTTAGTTCCGGCCGAAACCCCGATTATTTAGAGTTCTGGTTCCGGCCGGAACTAATAAAAAAAGCATGGCCGGAACCGGAACTCTGTCATTATCAGAGAGATAGAATATCAAACATTTTGTGTCTAACAAAAGGTCATAGTAGGAAGAAATTTGGACTACGCAAGGGAAATGTACACTATTAACACTTCATTATGACGTTTAACGTTTGTCAATCTTTTTATTCTAACATTTGCGAGCTCTCTCCTTGATGACTTGAAGTGTCTGCCTGTCTGGCAGCGGACAAAGTAACATATGACTATATATGGCTTAATAAATTAGTTTGTGTTCCGGCCGGAACTTTTTTCCAGTTCCAGTCAGTTCCAGTCCAGTTCCAGTTAGTCAAAAAACTGGTTCCGGTGCACCCCTAGCTATATACATCATTAGGTGGGGTGCGCACGCCCCTGCACCTTCACGGTAGATTCACCCCTGATGAATAAGTATTATTCCCTGCCTAATTCTCGCTGTTTCAAATTACAACAAAGATTCTACAGTCAAAAACTAGACCGTGAACAAATTGCCATCATGAATTAATTACAATTTAGTTTGTAAGTTGAAATGCACCCAAATGTGCCCGACATTATTATTTCACTTTTTAACATATAACATCAGCTGTTTGCATTAACAGTTTAGTAATGAAACCCAAATTTTACTATCCTCTGGACATCAGAATAATGCAAATTTCAGATCCTGAATTTTTGGCATACAGCCACTTCAGAATACAGATTTGTTATTTAGATGCTTAAAACAAACAGCACCAAGCTAATTTGTACAAATAAAGAGTGCCGTGCATCTAGAGATTTCGTTATCCACCATCTTGAAACAGCAGACACAATATATTTTAAAACAACAAAGCTTAGGAATCACTCACGCATAGATTTAGAAATTCACAAAGCAAACTTAAACTACAACAATGTTAAACTATATGTCACATGTACATTAATTATATCCTACATTTTGCGCCAAAATTTCGTAACAGACAGTTCCATTTCACAACAAGCGGACATGTCGTTTTTCAGACAATCAAACAAGAGAGACAGCCATTAGTGAATTTTGCATAAACAAGACGAAAAGCAGGCAGCAAATTGGCGACAAATAAACGCGCATACAAACACATTGACGCCACAATATTTTGTAAAATGTCTGCTAAGACAGCTATTCTTTGATAAACGTCGAAAATGATCACGTTTTTAAGCCAAATCTGTGAAGAAAATGCACTTCATAAAAGCGCTGTTGTGTGCGGCAGTAAGTTGCGTATGGCACTATTGTTTGCTCAATTTGCAAGTCGCTATAATCAATTCGAACACGCAGACAGCGAGTTTCGAACTGCTACAAGTTTATTATGACACAACCTTACCTGACAAATTGTAGGGGCTTGTTTTAAAGCACTGTTCAGCGATCCAAACCGATTGCCGAGAATGGCGACAGGGCGTTGCGATGGTGTCACTTTCCATGTATATAGAGTCCACTGGCAGCTTCCCTTGGGCAGTTATCAATTGAAAACTGTCATCAGTTTGATGGGTCAGACATTGAATGACTAGAACACCGGAAATGAATTGCTGCGGGAAATTGACACTTGATTGATAAACGAAGAGGAAGTGAGCGATGCTAAAATTGGATACGCCAGACGTTGAAGTTGAAAAACAAAATGGCGGTCAAAAATGAGCGATGCAAAATTTTAAATTTACTTTCTAATTAAATAGTAATTCTTTATTAACTTTTATTAGTTACACAATTGACGATAGAAACAAAAGGACTGATAGAGTCCCTAATAAGTCGTACCCTAGATACATAAATTATACACGAAATGAAAAGCATTGTTCATATATTTGCGGCGCGCGACAAATAACAGAGGAATGGGACGAGCTTAATATAAATTGAGCATTTGGTGCCGATTTATTGGTGTATTCTACAACGGTTAATAGTTCTATTAACCGTGATTCTACACGCCGCCGGTTTTTGGGCTGCTATGGTGCATCTGTGCAACAATTGAAACTTTACGTTATATTTATTCCTAAACATACCTAATTTTAAGAATTTTTTATCACTGCACATTTTATGCCAAAAATTTCCGAATGACTAAGAAAATTTCCGAATATTCGGAAATTTTTGGCGACCTTCCCCCCCCCCCGTCGCCAAAAAAATTTTGGTCAGTGTACCATTTTAAGGGTCAAAAATTTTTTCCGGACATACCAAAAGCCAGATATTAACTAAAAATTGCCTGAATCTCATGATTTTCGTACAAAAAACATATACTATTATTTAAATCGATAATTTGGCAGTCATCATTTCAATTTCAATTAAATCATTCTCTTGTGTTAATTAACAACTTATCAAAGCAAATTTTATCACTGCACATTTTACATTTTATCACTGCACATTTTACTTTTATCACTGCACAAATTGGTTGTCACTGCACACTAAAATTAGGTATGTTCCTAAATTATATATATTATTATTAATTAATTTATATTTATTTATGACATTTATAGTTATATTTATTTATTTATAATTAATTATAACGAATTACCATGCAATTAGTGTCGCCGGCCGTAAGCAGGTATCCTGAACTGCAAACTGAATTACATTGTTAATTGTTATCTACTAGTAGAGACATTTATTACGTTTTCACCATATTTAATAAGACGGGCATGAATATTTTAGATACATATTTGACACACCTAGCCATTGAGCTCAGTGGAGCTACCCTTCTCTTATATGTCTTATATTTCCAACTCTGACTGGCATTATTTCATTTGCATATTAAAAGTCCAAAAAGAGGTGCAGCTGATGCAGTGCATTTGAAACTACAGAGAAAAAAACATAGATGATAGAATCAAAATTCGTTTCGATGAACCATAGTTAGTAGAAAATAAACATGGTTTGGAAGCTTGACAAAAGTCATTGTTCTATGTTTATTTTCTACTAACTATATGGAAATTTGTGCACTCGGATTCTGTATAATGAGGTGATTACCCAATAAAAAGCTTAGTTTCAATCGCTGAACCCTAATATTTGAATATTAATAAACGCAAGACAAAAGATGTGTGCACTCGAAATTACATTTCAACACCAGTTGAAGTTTGAATAGGAAATTCTTTGAAGTTTACCGGCCTTCCTAACCATGTTTATTTCTATTAACTATGGATGAACGTACAATGACAACATCGTGAAAAGTGAATTACCGCCACTACTCACAAATCATAGTATGTCAAGATATGATGCTCTGGAAGCCCGGCAAACTTCAAAACCACAAAATAGAAAGCCTTTGTTTGATGTTGAACTGTACCTAGTCACCGTGCACACATCCTTTGTCTCAACTTCATTTATAAATATTATTCATCGTGGTTGCACGTTTCATCATGAGCTCAATCACCGTGACCTTGCACAAATTAACATAGAGGGTGGGAAAGGGTATTTTCGTGAGCCGTGAATGGTCAATATTTGTTCGCGTGAAATGTGAAATGCTTGATTTTAGTGTCGTGAAAAGTGATTTGTTCTACGGCCGTGAGGCGTGATTGTCGATAAAAATCCTCCGTGAAATGAGAATTAAGGATGTCTGTTTCGTGAACTGTGATTTTGCTTTGTTTATTTCGATCTATTTTATAATAGTCATAATAAACATGATACGCGATAATCAATTTATATGATCTCACTCGATTGCACAAGAGTAAAAACTTCGGAGACCTTTCGGAGGTCGTCGTACATGTTCGTCACTCAAACTTGTAAGTTATGATGTAGTTTTTAACTGACAGGTAGAGAAGCGAGAGAACTTAAAGCGTAGATACTGTACCTAAACATACTCTTAATAAACCTATCATTATTATATTACTTTATTAGAATCTAGTTTTCCGTGAAATTGCTTTTTTAAGACACGTGAATCGTGAAACGACCTTTTTTTTGTTGAGTGAAACGTGATCCATACCCCCTCTTTCCCACCCTCAACATTGACTCAGTCTCAGACAAAAACAGGACCGGCACAATCACTTCTGTTCCGTTTCTGAGACCATCATATCTTGATAGACAATGTATCACGATTTATAGTCGGGCAGATAGAAGGAAAAAAACTCACCATATCGAGGGGCAATTCCATTTTGCCTTCATATTGTGCTCTGATGGCTAGTAAGTACGTTTCTGAATGTTGGCCGCGTTAAAATTTCTTGTGGGCTCCTGCCGACACGTTTTTCTTCGAATGTTGTATTAAACTCTATTACAGTTAAAAAATATAAACTTTCAAATACATTTCTAACACAAATGACTTACATCATTCAAAAGGTTGCAAAAAACTACATATAACACATTTAAACGGTTACCCAGGTTTTTCAAGTTCTTCTTGAGTTATGAGCTGTTGAAAGCGTATTTTCAGACTAGTACCCAGCAATTTTGCGAGATCTTGGCTTATTTTTCACGTTTGAAGCGGCAATAACTCGAAAACCGCTTGAAAATCCCAACTATCCATTTAAATGTCTTATATGTAGTTTTGTGTTAGCTTTCTATTGATGTAAGTCATTTGTGTTAGAAATGTATTTGAAATTTCACATTTTTTAACTGTAATAGAGTTTAATACAACATTCGAAGAAAAACGTGTCGGCAGGAGCCCACAAGAAATTTTAAAGCGGCCAACATTCAGAAACGTACTTACTAGCCATCAGGGCACAATATGAACGCAAAATGGAATTGCCCCTCGATATGGTAAGTTTTCCATAATTTTGATCCTCTATCTGCCTGACTATTAATAAAGATGGCGTCATCATCATCATCAACGAAAAGCTCCATCACAACTCCCCTCCTCGCGACACCACCATCCCCTTGCCAAACTGATAATGATCGTAGTCTGAACGACCAACGTAGTTTTGTGGAAATTCTTTCTTTGTTGCGCTGTTCAGTTCACACACTTTTTTCTTCTTGGAAAAATTGAAAGACTTGCAGTTTGGGGAGACTTGACACATTATTAAGCAATCGAAGGATTCCTGCACATCGGTTTCCGTTTGAAAAACACTTCCCAACAAAGCGAAGCCGTATTTTGGAGAGGCTATTGCTGGATTCATTCCAATTCGGAGATTTTTGGCTGTAAAAAGAAACGATATACAGTAAACCCCCAAATATAAGCCCCCCCCCCTGAATATAAGCCCCTCCGTGTATAAGTCGATGACCATGGGTTTATTTTATCATTGGACAACTATTTATTAACGAAGCGACGGGGTTTCCAACAGCTCATGACGAGTGACAATAATTACATAACAGTATTATAATATGTTAACCAAATTGTTTTATGTATAGATTATATACTGTTTGTTTATATTTCTTTTCGTTCACGGCAGAGCGGTCGGCAGAACCCCCGACTCACACTCGACTTGTTGAGTTCTGCCGTAAATGACTCGAGCTGAGTCAACTCAGCTACAATTTGTTCAGGATAAATTCATCAAAAAAATTGTAGTGGAATGGGGGGAGGGGGAGAGAGTCATGAAAGGGCTCGAAGGATTAATTAAAGAGTAATTCTCGATGCAGATAGGCATGTTTCCACTTGTAGGGAATTGTAGGGAATTTGTTTAAGGCATTTTTGTCCACCATACAATTCGTGTAGCCATTGACCCAACTCGAGTGAAGCCATTGACTCGACACGACTCGACTCGAGTGAAAAGGAAAGGCACATCCTGAAAGAAAAACAACAACTTACCGTTCCTAAAGCAGAATGTTATCCAGGAAGAGATCTTTTTAAAGTCTTTAAAGTTATAAACGTACGAACCGGTACATCTTCGGATTAACACGTCGTACGTCGTGGAACACTCGCGCTTCAAACACAATGTCCGGCTGACTACGCCATCTTGTATTTTTGGATGTTTTCCTTTCAACCATAACTGACAGGGAGAGGCCTTGGGAAACGATTCGAAAAACTGAAATAAAGTAGTGAAATACAACATTTATAAATACAACATTGCTTCCACGAGTGGTCTGGAACTCCCTTTTTCATAGTGATGTAGAACCTTACCTGCAAACTAACTTTATTATATAGCTCTATATCATTTCTAAACTGTTCTCTCCTAGAGGTCCAGTAAAGGTCATCTCTTATTGATCCAGTATTACTCATTGAAATTCGTTTCAATGGTACTACTACAGGAGGGAGCCTATAAACTAAACCAACTTTATTTATATTGGACAGCTCTATCAGTTCTAAATTGTTCTCCCTAGAGCCTAGAGGTCCAGTAAAAGTCATCTCTTATTCATCCAGTGTTACTACAGAAGAAAACTTAAACTAAGCTAACTTTACTGGATAGCTCTATCAGTTCTAAATCATTCTTTCTAGAGGTCCAGTAAGAGTCATCTCTTATTAATCCGGTGTTAGGAAACGTACACTAAATTAAGTTTACTTATACTGGATATAGCTCCATCTGTTCTGAACTGTTCTTCCTAGAGATCCAGAAAGAGTCATCCCTTATTGATCCAGTGTTACTACAGGAGGAAACCTAAACTAAACTGAACTAACTTCACTTATACTGGATAGCTCTGTCAGTTCTAAACTGTTCTCCCTAGAAGTCTAGTAAGAATCAGGTCAGAGTTACTGAAGGAGGAAACCTAAACTGAACCGACTTTATTAGTCGGCCTTCTAGAAAACCAATTTATAACTGATAGAACTATCCACCCCGAGCATGAATAAAGTCAGTTTAATTTAGTTTATGTTTCCTCCTGCAGTAACACTGGATCAATAAGGGATAACACTTACTGGACCTCTAGGAAGAACAGTTTAGGACTGATAGAACTATCCAGTATGAATAAAGTTAATTTAGTTTAGTACGTTTCCTCCTGTAGTAACACAGGATCAATAAAGGATGACTCTTACTAAACCTCTAACAAAGCTATCCAGTATGAATAAAGTTAGTTTAGTGTAAGTTTCCACCTATACTGGACCTCTAGGAAGAACACTTTGACTAAGACTAATACGTAACGAAGCTATCCAGCACAATAAGGGACAAGGAAACTAAAATTAAATCAGTGTACCTGCAAGCTGTGTCCGTTGTCTGGGTCAAAAAAACTATACCACTGGTTTCCTCTGAATTTAAATTCCTCGCTCTCAGATTTGCCGACTTTGAACTGAATTTCATTGAAATCTGCGCACACACGTAAGTTACCTGGGAATTGAAGAGTGAGTGAGTCATTCGGATTTTGAGAAAAGTGGAACCAAGATGGCGGAATTGAATCCAGTAATACTAACAGTCTCTCCAAAATTTATGAGTAAACAGTTGTAGTACCGCCTTCTCTCAGATAATTCCAGTTTTTTCTAAATAACGGACGGCCTAATGACATTTTGGCACACATCTTGCAGAGTGCCCTCTACACAAGTTGTAACAAACCTGCAGCAGACTCACAGCAATGTTGTTCCAGCAACTTGTCAACAGGATGTGTTCGCACTATTTGTTCCCAGGTTGTTGACAAGTTGTCAACGGCTTGTTGACACCTCGTTACAAGCTTATTGAGCTCAACACACTTGTTACAATTTGTTCCAACAACTTGTTACCATACTGCAATTCAACAATCTGTTAACAAGTTGTGAGGGACAACCTTGTAGCAACTTGATAAAATACCACCATTGTTACAACTTATTGACAAGCATGCTACAAGCTTGTTGCGAACACATCTTGCTGACAAGTTTCGAGGTTTTTACTTGTGTAGCTGTAAAAGTGTATATGTAAAAATGTTACACTTACTGCTAATAACCAAGTCCACAACTTTGACATCTACTCCATGCGTGTTATTCGCCCAGCATTCATACTCTCCAGTGTGATTAGCGTCAAGAGCCGTCAATTCGAGCGTACTGGTTTCACTTTGCACGGTTTCATTATTTCTCACCCAGCTGAGTACGGGGGTGGGATACCCTTTTGCTTCACAAGTCAAGGATAGCTGGTCAGTGTTATCCTCTGCCCAGATATAATGGTCTTTGCTTCGGTCAATTTCAGCTATTAGGAAAAATTTCCATTTTACTTTTTTAACGTTGTCGTTGTTGGTGCTGTTGCTGTTGCTGTTGCTGTTGCTGTTGCTGTTGCTGCTTCGGTCAATTTCAGCTATTAGGAAAAATTTCCATTTTACTTTTTTAACGTTGTCGTTGTTGGTGCTGTTGCTGTTGCTGTTGCTGTTGCTGTTGCTGTTGCTGTTGCTGTTGCTGTTGCTGTTGCTGTTGTTGTTGTTGTTGTTGTTGTTGCTGCTGTTGTTGTTGCTATTCTTGCTGCTTTTGTTGTTCTTCCTGCTGTTGTTGCTGTTGTTGTTGCTGTTATTGCTGTTACTGTTGTTGTTGTTGTTGTTGTTACTGTTGTTGTTGTTATTGTTGTCGTTGTTGTTGTTATCGTTGTTGTTGTCGTTGTCGTTGTCGTTGTTGTTGTTGTTGTTGTTGTTGCTGATGTTGTTGTTGTTATTCTTGCTGCTTTTGTTGTTCTTCCTGCTGTTGTTGCTGTTGTTGTTGTTGTTGTTGCTGTTACTGTTGTTGTTGTTGTTGCTGTTGTTGCTGTTTGTTTCTGCTGTTCCTGTTTTTGCTGCTGCTGTTGTTGCTGTTGCTGCTGCTGTTGTTGTTGTTGTTGTTGTTGTTGTTGTTGTTGTTGTTGTTGTTGTGTTACTGTTGTTGTTGTTGTTGCTGTTGTTGCTGTTTGTTTCTGCTGTTCCTGTTTTTGCTGCTGCTGTTGTTGCTGTTGCTGCTGCTGTTGTTGTTGTTGTTGTTGTTGTTGTTGTTGTTGTTGTTGTTGTTG